CTTTAGCATGTGGAAAGCGTTTTTCCAGTACCATCTATTGAAGAGGTTATCTTTCTTCCAGTGAGGGTATTTGTCCTCCTTGTCAAAGACAAGGTGGCTGAGTGTGTGTTTCGAGTTGTTTCTGCATCTTCTAGTTTGTTCCACTGATCACTGGGTCTGTGTTTTTGCCAATACCATGCTGTTTTTAATCACAGTAGCTCTGTAGCATAATTTCCAGTCAGGGATGTTCTCTGCCTTGTCTTTGTTGCCCATAATTGCTTTTGCTTTTCTAGGTTGCTTTTGAGTCCAAATGAATTTTAAGAAATGTTTTCTCTAGTTCTGAGGTATGCTAGCAGTACTTTGATTGGAAATGCATTAAATTATAACAATTTTGGGAGCGTAGCCATTTTTACTACGTTGGTTCCTCCTACTCAAGAGCAAGGGCTATTTTTACATTTTTTGATATCCTCTTTGATCTCTTTTTTCAGGGTTCTATAATGTTTAATGTAAAGATCTTTTACTTCCTTTGTTAAATTGATTCCTAAGTATTTAATTTTTATTCATTGCTACTGTGAAAGTCACAGTTTCCCTAATTTTTCTCTCTCAATAAGTGTGTTACTTGTGTACAGGAATGCTATTGATTTCTGAGTGTTGACTTTGTATCCAGCTACATGACTGAATTTGGTCATTAGATGTACAAGTTTTCTGAAAGACAAGAACAATCAATCCCAATGCTTGTATAGAGGAGGAAATTATAAAGATTAGAGCAGAAATTAATGCAATTGAGATTAAGAAAATAACACAAAGAACCCAGGAACTGAAGAGTTGGTTCTTTAAAAGACTAAATAAAATTGATAAACCCTTAACCAACGTTATCAAAGAAAGGAAAGATTCAAATCTATTCAATTAGGAATGAAAAGGGTGAAGTCACAACAGATCTTGCAAAAATCCAAAAGATTGCCGGGCGTGGTGGTGCACACCTGCATGTCTGTAATCCCAGCACTCAGGAGGCTGAGGCAGGAAGATCATGGCGAGTTTGAGACCAGCCTGGGATACAAAGTGAGCTCAAGGCCAGCCTGAACTGCATAGCAAGACCCTGTCTCAAAAAGGACAAAAAAAAAAAATCCAGATTATTAATACCTACTTTAAGAACCTTTATTCTAATAAGATGGCAAGTAAAGAAATGGAGAGATTCCTGTATACATATGAATTACCAAAGCTGAATCAAGAAGATATAAAAATTCTAAATAAACCAGTATCAGTCAATGAGTTGAAGACATAATTAAAAGCCTACCAACAAAGAAAAGCCCGGGTCCTGATGGATTCACTACTGAATTCTATAGAAATTAAGAGAAGATCTAATGCCACTACTCTTCAAAGTTTTTAATGAAACTAAAAGGCAAGTAAGACTTTCAAATTTGCCAGGTGTGGTGGTGCACTTCTGTAACCCCAGCACCCAAAAGGCTGAGGCAGGAGGATTGCTACGAGTTTGAGGCCAGTCTGAGGTACAAAGTGAGCTCAAGGCCAGCCTGAACTGCAAAGCAAGACCTTGTCTCAAAAAGACAAAAAAAAAAAAAAAAGATTTCCAAATTCATTCCTAGAGGCAAGTACTACTCTGATACCAAAACCAGGGAAGGGTTCACCCAAGAAAGAAAACTACAGGCCAATCTGAGGAAAATAAATGCAAAATCCTCAATAAGATACTTGGCAAAGCAGGACAGCGCCATCTTGTCCCCGTCCTTAGGAAAGACAGGGACACAGGGGGTTCCTGGTGTGGTGAGGGCCTGATTATCACCCAACCTGGCTGCAGAGGGATGCAGCCAGGACTCTCCAACAGTGTTTTTAATGGAGTCAAATCCACATGGTTGATGTATTTTTTCCTTTAATCTTGAGCATTTTGTTTCTCTTTCTGAGAATGTAACTTGAAACACTACAGAGCCAATAATTCTATACAGTGTATCTGCAGACACTGTACAGTTTTATGTATTTTCACAATGTACTCTGGTGCCTTCTAGATAATTTATTTTGCAACACATTACTGCATAGTTGTAAATATTTTATGTAGTGTAACATCACTTTCAGTTATGTGTAAAGAAATTAATTAAAATGCTCTTTGGATATAAACACAGCAAAAAAATAAATAAATAAAGCAAATCATCAACAAGATTATATACACCATGACCAAGCAGGACTCATCTCAGGGATGCAGGGATAGTTCCACACATATAAATCAATAAATGTAATACACCATATCCACAGAGCCAAGGACGAAAATCACATGATCATCTCAATGCAGAAAAAGCAGTTAACAAAGTCTAACACCCATTCATGATAAAAACCCTACAGAAAACTGGAATAGGTCTTTATCTCAATCTGATTAAAGCCATCTATGACAAACTAACACCCAACATCATATTAAATGGACAAAAACTAAAAGCTTTCTCTCTAAAATCAGGAATAAGACAAAGATATCTACTGTCACCACTCTTATTCAATATAGTTCCGGAAACATTAGCCAGAGCAATTAGACAAGAGAAAGAAATAAAAGGAATATAGGAGGGCCGGGGATATAGCTCAGTGGCACAAGTGCCTGCCTAGCAAGCACAAGGTCCTGAGTTTGATTCCCAGAACCCCCCCCAAAAAGGAATACAGGAATGTGTAACTATCATTATTTGCAGATGACATGATACTCTACATAGAAGAGCTCAATTAATGATTTTAAAGATGAATGCCATTGTGGAAAAATGTAGCATACGACAAAGCTGGTATTTTTATAATACACTTTACTCAAGGAAAAGATGAATGTTAATATATAATGGGCAAAGAATATAAAAAGAAAATACATTTTTAAATGTGACCAATAAATGCATGATAAAAACTAAAAAGATATGTACACAGTATAAGTAAAAAATTTTATCTCAGAAAGTAAGGATGAAAAAAACTGGTAATACCAACTACCGTATCAATTAAAATGTGTAAGAGAATATGAATAATACCTGGTGGAAGTAAAAAATGAAAAACAAGTCTTTTTGATGTCAATATTAAATCTATTATTAAATCCTCACATTCTTAAAAAAAATTTCCATTTCTAGGTGTACATGTTAAGTAATTACATAACTATCCACAGATGTATAGTAAGGATGCTCACTGGAGCACTGCTTATTTTTATGAAAACCTAGTTATCAATTTAAGTATCTTTCTCTAAGAGTTGGCTAAATTACAATATAGCCATAGAAGGAATACCAGGTGGCCATTACAATGGTAACATCTGTATTTACTGACACAGAAAAATGTGCACATTTGTGAATCAATCCGTTTTGAGAAACCACATATATACGCATATGTATAATAGTATGTATATATGTACCTAAATATCTTAAAAAATATATTTACTAAAAAGTATACACTTACTAAAGATGAATATTTTCTCTATTGCTTTCTTATTGCCTCAATTATCTTTTGTAGAATGGCCAGTATTATTCTTATAGTCCAGGGAAACTGTTCTTTTTGAAAAAAATGTAAGCCTAGGATAAAGACATCTCATCAATAGTCCCTGCCAGCATATTCATTAGGCAGGAAGTAGCAAGTAAACTTAAAAAATTTTCTTATATAAGAGAAAAATATCACTGCAATCATTAAACCTCAGTTCCTACTCTGATTTGAGTATTTCACACAGCAATAGCAAGGACAGAAAGAGATAATAAATTAATCATAAAAAACATGGAAAACCAGGCCCCCACTTTAATACAAAAAGTGGACATTCTTCAACTGTTCAATATATTTTACTTCTGCCTACTCCAACATTTTCCAAAATGTTTTCTGTAGACATTACTGTTCTGACTGATGTTAACTATGTGGCAGGGGCAAATAAATTAATAATCATTTAAAACATGATACATTAGGCAGACATGGTAGCCTCTGCCTATATCCTAACTCTCTAGCGTGGTAGCCTATGTCTATATCCTAACTCTCTAGGAGGCTGAGGCAAGAGAATCACAAGTTTAAGCTTAGCTTGAGCAACTTGACAACTACCATTATGTAAGCCATGAACATTTACTTCTTCCACTTACTGATGTCCAGGGAGCATTTACCATTTAACCACCATGTAGAAAGTGTATCCTCATTTGATGACTGCTAATCAGTTCTAATATGTATCATGTTATAAGATATATATTTAATTATAGTAATGTAAAAATTAGGTATACATTTTTATAAATATTTATACATTAGCAATCATATTTATAGGAACTGAAGAGACAGACACTAAGCCTCTTGGATGTTTTTGACATTTAATGCCACCTTATTCAGCACCAGCATGAGGAGGTCTAGTCTGCACAGCAACATGGATTAGAATTGTAGGATTCACAAGGAAATGAGAAGAAGCAGGTAAAAGAAGAGAAAGTATTCAAACCAAACCCAAAGTTGGCAAATTTTATAAATATCTACACTAACAAAGAGGAAAAATAATTTTTTTCTTAAGTACCACTTCCTTTCTGGTCCCCTTGATAATTCAGTGTTGGTTCAGATAGATGGTGTTTTTAAAACTCTAACGGAAAATGTCTACCAGCAATGATTTGCTCTGGCAGGCTGTATGACATTTTTTTAATTCTCTAGTTTTAAAAATATTCTGAAAATACATTTTAAAAATTTAAATAAAACAAGTCTCTGCCTATTGACCCAGTATAAGAGACACAGAACTATACAGTGTGTCTCTTAGTAGACATCAAGTATCCCAAAAGTATTTAATACAAGTTGTTTGTTCACTTCTACAACACTAAATAAATCATTTTCTGCTTCCATAAAAAGTACAAGTTTAGAACAGGGCATGATGATGCATGCCTGTAATCGCAGCACTCAGGAGGGTGAGGCAAGAGGATTGTTGCAAGACCAGCCTGGGATACAAAGTGAGCTCAAGGCCAGCCTGAACTGCACAGTAAGACCCTGTCTCAAAAAGACCAAGAACAAAAGTTACAAAAAGTACAAGTTTAATACTTATAAAAATGTATTTTAAAAACTCTTACCCATATTGCAAGTTTAGCCTTATTTCCATCCACTGAAATTGTTTTCACCTTGAAGTCAACACCTTGAAGAAATGAAAGTTTTGGTAAGTCAATCACCATTTTTAAAATTCATTACCCCGAAAACAGAAAAGCTAGTTTATCAAATGGTCAAATTCATACCCAAAATCTTTGGAATTCTGGATATGCAGATAAAAGAAAAAGTGTCTGTAAGACCATAGTTCAGGATTTAATCAGATTAAATGAAAATCAAATGCTTTGGAATTTAAACAAATACCTATACTTGGAAAAAATAAAATTCAATTTAAGGCAATGATTAACTGTACATATTAAAAATCATAGCTCATGCCGGGCATGGTGGCATGTGCCTGCAATCCCAGGACTTGGGAGGCTGAGGCAGGAGGACCGTTGCAAGTTCGAGACCAGCCTGGGCTACAAAGTAGGCCTCGAGCTCAAAAAGACAAAAAAAAAAAAGAAACTACTTTTCTGTGTTAGCACTATAATTGTCTTTTTGAGACAGGGTCTCACTATGCAGTTTAGGCTGGCCTCAAACTCACTTTGTAGCCCAGGCTGGTATCAAACTTACAACAATCCTCCTGCCTCAGTCTCCCAAGTGCTGGGATTACAGGACTATGCCACCACACCTGGCAGAACAGAGTATTCTCTTTTTTTTGGGGGGGGGGGGGGGGGCGGGTACCAGGAATTGAACTCAACCGCAGGCTTGCCAGGCAAGCGCTTAAGCAGCTGAGTTACACCCCTGGCCCTAGAAAAGAGTATTCTTACCTGACTGGTGATCATGACAGTTTTCAGAGATTCCCTAAGCACCCAGACACTACTGTTTAGCGTATTTCAGCACCACTGACTCAGATCTTGAATGTAAGCAGCTTATATAAAAGGGACACACTCACTCCTTGTCTAAGCATTCTGCGTTCAATTTATCCTAAAAAATAACATTAGTTTTATATAACCTAGTCAATGATCACCTGCTACTGCATAATTCCAAAAAAAAAAAGAATTCCCTATAATATATCCAATGCTGCAAAATTCTTCACAAGTGAGAGAGGGATGCTCAAAAATCTATGAAAAATTTACATGAATACTAATTTACGTAGAGGAGAACCTCATCAGAAATCACACAATGTTTTATTAAGGCACCCCCTCCTCATTTCTCCAGGAAAAAAGAAGCTGACATATGTCATCGGGCTTAAATGAACAATAACTGTCCACATGTCTTTAGAAGAACATCAAAAATAACGTGCAGTCTACCCCACTGGTCAGATGGAAAACATTAGCTCAAGAAGTCTGAAAAGAAGCTTACAAAAGATCAGCCAGGTGTGGTGGTGCATGCCTATAACCCCAGCACTTGGAAGACTGACGCAAGAGAATCGTTTTGAGTCTGAGACCGGCCTGGGCTACATAAGTGAGCTCAAGGCCAGCCTGAACTGTATACTGAGACCTTGTCTCAAAAAAACAAAAAAAAAAAAAAAAAAAAAGCTTATAAAAGATCTTGTTAGCTTGTCACAATTAATTCAATTAATTCAGAACTGTTCCAACTAACAGCATATTAAATGCTTAACAGAACACATGTCACCATTATGGAAATATATTAGTAATATAAAAGTCTCACGTGCTCACAGGTGGAGCTTCTGGGAGGTGGCTGAATCAAAGGTATAAACACTAAGATTAAAGATGCCTCACCCCTGGTGTGGGTGGCACCACCCAAAAGGTGGACAGCCTGGAAGAGGGAAAGGGAAAGAAGGCAAGCTTGCTGCTTCTGCTGCTGCTGCTTGGCTGTCTCCTTTCTTGCCATGAAGTGTTTCTCCTCTGCGATGCCCCTCTAAAATGCCACCCCAGCTTGGAGTCAGCAAACTATGGACTCACACCACTATAAATATGAGCCAAAATAAAAGCTTCCTACTTGAACTTTGGGTATGGGATATTTTGTACCAGCAACAAGAAAAGTAACTGTGACACCGACTTCTTACCAGATTTGCTTAACCCACCCTTTCAACCTCTTCCTGTGGGGCTGTAGACCTATCATTTTAGCTTTTTTCTTTTTCAGTTGTGTTTGCATTGTTAGTATGACCTTTTAATTCAGTTTCTTAATAGGAGTCTTTTTTTGAGGCCTAATTTAGTTAAAATATATTATTTGCATAATATATTTAAGAAAGCCTTTGAAACAAATAGTAAGTAGAATATGAAAATTTATGAAAAGAATAAACCCAACAATAGACAGTTGTGAATGGGGGATCAGAACATTATTAACTGAAGCATTTTTCTTGTCAAAGAAGAGAAATATTATTTAACAGAAAATGACTCAGGAGCCAGGCATGGTGGTACACGCCTGGGAAGACGATCGCCATGAGTTCGAGGCCAGCCTGGGCTACATAGTGAGGTGAAGGCCAGCCTAAACTGCATAGCCAGACACTGTCTCAAAAAGAGAAAAAAAAAATGACTCAGAACTGACACAAATGTTAGAATCAGCAAATCCAGATATTAAAACAATTATAACTGTATACTGCATGTTTAAAAAGACAATGGTACAAAAAAAGAACAAAATTAAATTTCTAGAGACAAAAATGGCAATGTCTGAGATGAAATTACACAGCGTGGGATCAATGGCAGACTGGACACTGGAGAAGACAACAGTGAATGTGAGGACACAGCAACAGAAACGAGCCAAAAGGAAACAGGACATGAGGGGGAAGCTGTGATGGCAGCAAGATGGCTAAAAAGAGGTGCCTGGCCAATGTCCCTCCACAAGAAAGAATCAAACAAAGAAAAAACTGTTACTACGCTGGCATATTTGAGTGTAGCTGGAATCTGGCAGAGGTCACAGAGCACAGAGACCCATGACAGACTTGGAAAGGAACTATGTAGAGTATCTACCATTCTCTCTCCAGTTTAGAACATCCTAAGCCAGTGGTGGCAAACCTATGGCTCGCGTGTCATCTGTTTTCCTTTTAAAACAAAGATGTTAATGTATGAGCTGCTCCTTCTAAACTAAAACCTCAGTACTTGGGGTTTAATCGCAGTGTCGGCACTTTGTGATGAACAAGTAGGCTTTGGGTTGCAGTCTGGGCATTGGTCTCTAAAAGGTTTGCCATCACTGCCCTAAGCCACGGATTTCATGCACTGGGGAAAGGTTAAGTAGCAGGCTCCAGGCAGTACCCACTAATGCCATGGAACCTTAAGTATTGCTGTTGGAGAAGACTGCAGCCCTTGCAGGTCCTTTAAGACCAGTTTGGGGAGTTGCTATGGAATCCACACCACTGCAATGTCCCAGAGAAAGAGCCCAGCCCATGTTGTGCTCTCCCTGCTGTAAGGCTCCTGCGAGGCAGAACCAGTTTGAGAACATGGCCACCCAGAGTTTCTCACAATTTGTTATATGATTTGTAAAATACTGAAAGAGGGCAGGCTTTACCTCAGTGGCACAGTGCCTGCTTGGCAAGCATGAGGTTGAGTTTGATTCCCAGTACAAAAAAAAAACCCAAAAACTAGAAGAGTTCAAAGCTTCCAATACAAAGAAATAACAAATGAAACTGCAATTTGACCATTACACAATATATACTTCTACTGAATTACCACACTTTACCCCTATATATATATATATATATATATAAAATTATGTGCCAATTTCATTAACAAAAAGAAAGAGACAGCATCAATGATCTGTGGGGCAATTCTAAGCAGCGTAGAAAAAGCGAGAAAGCAAAGGGGAGCAAACTTTGTATTTGAAAAGATAATGGCCAAACCTTTTCAATTTTGATGTAAAAGATTAATCCACAGTTGAAAGCAGCTCAATGACCCCCAAACATAGATCCAAAAAGGAAAGTAAATTAAGGGGCATCTTCAAATTGCTCAAAGATATATTTGTTTTTGTTTAGTCTTTTTGAAACAGGGTCTCGCTATGCAGTTCAGGCTGGCCTTGAGCTCATGTAGCCCAGGCTGGCCTCGAATTCACAAAGATCCTCCTCATCAGCCTCCGAGTGCTGGGATTATAGGCGGGTGGCACTATGCCTGGGCTCAAAGAAGTACTTAAACTTTTATATCAACATATAATACAACAAGCATTGTTAATTTCCTACCACTTTGTTGTAACTCTGTATTGTCTGTACTGTTCTGCTATTCTGTAAAAGTTGTCCGTCAATGTTTTCCTTCTTTTATTTTTAAAATTAAGAAAAGAAAGAAAGAAAAACATCCCACAGAATCTGTGGCACTTACAGGAAACTTTACATAGTATTAAATGCCATACTGGGGGGAAAAAAAGATCTTAAATCAATGACTAGAGCTTCCAAACTAAGAGATCAGCAAGAACAGATTGGCTAGGAGTAGAGCTCAGTAGAAGAGCGTGTACTTAACACAGTTAAAACCCTGAGTTCAATCTATACTATCACATGAAAGAAAAAGCACAAAATGGAAGACAAAAGTTAATTATTAGAAAACAGAAAAAAAAAATTTCAGATAGTACCGCCAAAAGCTCATTTTATAATAAAAACAACAAACAAAAATAAATTTCTAGCCAAACCCAATCAAGAAAAAGATGAGAAGTGACATTAAAAGAATAATAAATATCATTTATAGACTGTGCAGTGGTTAAAAGAATGATTAAAAGAATGTTAGAAAAAAATGATGCCAAGAAATTTAACAATTTAAATACAATGGACAATTTCCTTAAAAGATTAAAAGCTACCAGAATTGAGTAAAAAAGAAATACATCATGAAGAAAACATCAAATACACATAAAAAAGGAATCAAACCCTATTAGTATGAAAAATCAACAAAATAAGGCATTAATGGAGAAAATAGGGCCAGGGACATAGCTCAGTGACACAAGCACCTGCCTGGCAAGCGCAAGGTCCTGAATTCAATTCCTGGTGCCAAAAAAAGTAATGGAGAAAATAAAAAATAAAAACTGTTTAAGAATACAAATAGCAAAATAGCAGAAGGCTTACTGATAATCATGCTAAATGTAAATAAACTCTCCTATAAAGGAAAAATTGCCAAAATAAAAAATACTAAATATACCTATCTGCAAGAGACTTCAGATCTAGAGATTCATAGG